TTGTGAGTATTGTGTGTCATGATATAGTAGGCACACACAGACACACACACACACACACACACACAGACACACAGAGACACACACACACACACACACACCATGTAAAACTATGCCAATTTAATGAAAATTTTGCATGTGGTGGGTAGAACTGTTATATCTATACTGTCATCAAGTGCCCCAGCACATGTATAAAACTCACACTAACACAGATTAACAAGCGGAAATGACAGCATTTCCTGTAAACATGGTGTCCCCCTGTGTGTGTCGCCTGCTCATTAGGGCTCTCCTGTGGCAAGCTGGATAATATGAAGAGTGGTGTTCACCTGGGTAGTATCCAGGTATTAGTTTTACAAATACACACAGACACAGACACACACACACACACGAAAGGCGACTCTAATCCAAATCGCTTCTTGCACTGGAACTCCACAGTATTATTCTGACGTGAACTACATCCTACTGAAATCAAAATGCCATCATTACAAAATACACTAATCAGATTTTCTTACATGTACCAATTTGTCCTTTATGAAAAAATAAAATACTGAAAAAGAGGGGTTTCAGCTGTGACAAAGGTATTAACTCCAAAATAAGAGTATTGTGTATAGCACTTACAGTATGATCTACTAATATGTAAAAATAGTACAAGTACATCTTTTCTTTTCAAATTTGATTTATAACATTTTCTTATATAAGAAAAAACTTTCAAGTGTCACTCATAGTAAAGCTATGCAAGAGCTTGTCTGTCACACTTAATGCAAATCTCCAGCAGCAAAATACAGTTTTATTGAACAATGTCATGGTTGTGTTTTTAGCTCACAGCAAAAAATAAAACAAACAATGTAAAATAAAAAAATAAAACAAGAACAATTCCAATATTTTCAAGGCATAGGCAAAAAATTAAATACAATAAAAAAAAGGAAAAAAAGACAATTGCTTTTTCAATCATTTTCACTCCACTAATTTGGCATAACCTTCCAATTATATTTTTGCCATTATAATAAACTATATTAACACTATATAGTCTATCAAGTCTATTTCTTTAAATGCATTTTACTATGATTGCTATGAACGCTGACACCCATAAATGGAGGTGCTACCTGACATTATCCAGCCACAGATCTCATCTCAGGTTCATATCCAAGCAATCACAAGTGGTGGTGTCAAACGCAACCTCGCTGCAATCTTACCAATCTCCCTTCCATCTGCTGGCAGGGAGAGAGAGAGAGAAAGAAAGAAAGAACGCTGCAGACAGCCTCTCAACACATGATAGGACCAGAGAGGATGATGAGAGGGATAAAAACTGATACAGAGATAGAAATGGTGACGTGTGTTCAGATTGTCCTTGCACGGATGAGTGTGAGTCGAAGAGCGATCATCACCATAGTTAATGCAAAAAAGGCGGGAGGGTGAAGGGAGAGACAGGCTGTGGACAATAATAGAAACATTCACAATATCATGAAATAACCCTACAGTAAATACAAATTCAGTGACAAAGAATAATGTTAACCAAACCCCCAAAAACACGGTCATAAAAAAAGTACAAGTAGTACAATCAAAACATTTGGGCGCCTTAGAAAGAAAAAAAACATTACCAGATTCACCACAGTGGTATTTGCTGCAGGGAAACTGCACTGAAAAGTGTTCCTGTTATTGTGTCCACCCACTAGTAAGTGTAAGAGAGAGAGGGCAGGGTTTAGAGAAAGGAGCTCGTGGAAGCTGGGGCTACTTGAAGAGTAATGACAGGGCACTGAGCCCATAATGTTCCTCTAAAAATAAAAAGGGGAGCTGCATATTAATCTCACACAGGGAACAGCACTGGTGCTCCCACCTCTCATTTACCTAGCAGGAGGGACAACCATAACAAAGCGCTCCGCTGAAATTCCAAGACAACTTTATTCAGCAGTTATTATTAATGGAAAAAGAGACGGGGAGGAAGGACAGAAGACGAAAGGAGTCCAAGGAGGGAGAAGAATGGCGCGAGACACAGTGAGAGACAGAGGGAGAGGCTGTTATACCACCTTCACATCCACCTATCCTCGTGAGTATAAACACTTCCACACTCAAACACAGCAGACATTCAAAACAAAACAAAAAAAAACTAGAAAAGAAAGGCTGCCTCTAGCTCTCTTGGGAAATAAATGGGAGCGCAAAATACTAAAAAATCTGAAAGGGGAAAAAAAAAAAATGACACCCTCATCAGCGGTACCCTGCAATGGCAGTGTGTCTGCCACATGAATCTGCTGGCGAAATGCAATTATCCTCCCTGACGGGGGGGCAAGCTCGTTTAGTTGCTGTTTGCCTTTGCCTGCTGATCATCAAGCGCCATTAATTAAAGCTTGCTTTGGTTCTGACGATTTATACATCAGACACACACACACACACACACACACACACACTGATTATTCTAACACATAGTTTATCTTTATCCAGTTGCATGCCATTAGTACATGCCTTTTCCCTTGCCTGCTATTATGTATGCATACTAAAATAAGGTGTGATACTGGTGGCGAAAAAAGAAGAGGAAGTGATGATGTTTGAGAACAAGTGCAAATTACAGTATGACAGTAAAATAACTTCCAATTACGTTGACAAAATAGTTTATCCACTTTAGAAAACAAAAAATAAATCTTCATGTTCTCTGAATGATGCAGTTTAAAGTGGCTGATCAGATGCAAAAGGTGGAGGGGGGCTTTAGGTTCTGTGACCCCAGTGTGTAGCTGGTAGCTCTGGGCTAGCTGCCAGATTTACTCAAATATCAAAACACACTCACACACACACACACACACACACACACACACACACAGACAATCACACATTGAAAGCCCGACATCAAAGAGCGCTAATGAATTCATGATTAGCACCACACTCATACACATACATTTCCAGTATCTGGAACTGTGTGCAAAAACAACCCCGTGTGTGTGTGTGTGTGTGTGTGTGAGAGAGTGTGTGTGTGTCTGGGTTTGTGTGCATTACCTCCATCTGTGAGACTGAATATGAGCTCAGCCTTTAGAAAATAATTGGGATGTTTCTGTTTTCCCGTTTAGTTTTCTGGGTTCCTAAACGCTATCAACAGCCAGCCAGGAAGACTCACGTGATAACTGTACAACGACAGCCTAAAAACAAGGAGCCATAAACTGCATTAACATTTAGAAATGTGTCATGTTTGGAGGAGCAGAGAGGAGAGGGGACCTGATCGTAAACCAGATGAGGGGTTTTCTATTCTGTCTCTCACACATGCATTCAGTCAGGCTGTCGGAGATATTGCACAAAACTTCAGACCAGACACAAACACCCAGTTGGGTTCAAAGATCAACTGCTACAAATTGCCCTGTTTCAGACAAAGTATTTTGATGCAAAGCTAATTTCAGGGACAACAGTATTAGGCAAAGCTATTATGGATATGTCAGGAGCCATTTTCCTTTGGCAAAGATTGTGTAATGGAGAGCCGAGGCCAGACGTGACAATTGGAGGAGACACAACAAAAAGCACGCCTCGACAAAATAATCTCCTGCTATTTATACTCTGATGGAGGGGAGGCATTTATGTTGAAGAAACGACTCGGAAATGAAGAAACTGTCAAAGTCTTTGGTAAACAGCTTAACTTCTCAGTGTAAAAACATTTAAAAATAACTATCACATTCATAAAAACACTATGAGTCAAATGGGATTAGGAGATTATGAGTAAGAAGTAGGGTAATTACACATAATCCTTTATATTCATTAAGAAAAAAAAAACAGATTTTCGCACACTTATCTAACGTAATCTGTCACAGGGTGAAAGGAGGCGAATGAATGACAGTGCTAGCACACAGACGACAATTAAGACGACTGCATAACGAGTCAACAGAGCAGAATGTGGCACAGAAGCACAATGATGACACAGGTTTAAGAGAGACAGAAAGACAGAATGTGGAGAAAAGTAAAGTTTAATAGAACCCAGCCATGGAAGTGAAAAGGGAAGAAAGGTCAGGGAGGTTTCAGAAAAGTAATGGAGATGTTGAGAGCACGTCTTGCTCCAGTCGCAAGAAGGTCACTCACTGCTGTGTCAATTTGCTTAGAATGGGGAGATGGAGGGAAAGATGGCTGGAGGCATACAAGGA